CTCCCTCAGTTTTTCTCCTTTCCAATTCTTCTTTCAATTTCTTCCAATAATTGACTTGAAGTCGAGTCAAGTCGGCATTGATTGATATATGTTGACCTCTCAATGCATCCTTTTTTGCTCTGATGATTGAATCAGCATCATCAGAGTTACTAAGAATGACTAAGTGCACGGAAGCCATTTTTGTTCTTTTTGCCGATTCTCACTGCATTGATAATGTTCAAGTTTTTTTGTGTTATTTTAGAAAAGATATTTTTACTTCATTAAGGTCATGGGAAGGATTGTTCGGCAACTCGGGCATGTTAAAGATCATAACATTTTTTTTCCTTTTTTGTCTTTCCTGTAGTTCGCTTATATAATCTTCTGGAAAGGATGTTTTAGTTTCCTTTTTAATTAAAACCTTGAGCTTCTCAACTTCACTCTGTAAGTCATCAATTTTTTTGAGCAGTTTGGGAACAATTCTTATACCCATTAGGCAATCCTCACATATGAATTTGAGAATTGTGAAAAAAAAATCGTATCTTCGAAAATTTAATGTGTACACCTATAAAATTGAGATATGTTATTCTTGATGATCTAATCGATAAAAAAAACTTCACGTTAGAGTTTTCCAGGCCGTCTGAGATTGAGATATGTTATTCCTGACACCCAATTTGATGAGAAAAACGTCACGTCATAGTTTTCCAGGCCGTCTGAGGGGGGAAAATGGAGTGGAAACTTGAAAAAATCATATATTTAAAAATTGAATTTGTACACCTACCATGTTGAGATATGTTATTCCTGACACCCGATTTGACAAGAAAAACTTTACGTCATAGTTTTCCGGACCGACTGAGGGCGTGAAAATGAAATGGAAACTTGAAAAAATCATATATTTAAAAATTCAGTTTTTACACCTACAACATTGAGATATGTTATTCCTGACACCCGATTTGNCAATTTTGTAGGTGTAAAAAATCGATTTTTCATGTTAAGAAATTTTTTAATATTTTCTCCCCATGTGCATCCCCTCAGACGGCCTGAAAACTATGACGTGAAGTTTTTTCTGTCAAATAGATCATCAGAAATAACATATCTCAATTTTGTAGGTGTAAAAAATCGATTTTTCATCAGGAATAACATATCTCAAACTTGTAGGTGTACAAAGTCGATTTTTCTTGTTACGATTTTTTCAAATATTTCCACCCTATTTTAACCCCTTCAGACAGTTTAATAAACAAGGACGGTTCTTTTTTTCACTAAACCAGTAAATAAGCGTATCATATTGAAAAATGGTAGGTGTGCAGAGTCGGTAAATGAAAAAATGAGAATGCGATATTTTTCTCTCAGTGTACTTTGTGGATGTGGATAACTTCACACCCGTCATTTGTTGTGGTTTTTTTTTGGTTAGCTGTTCTCTCTCTAAATTTCAATATTTCAAATGTCATTTGTGAAAAAAATTAAATATGACGTCATAGATACAAAACAAATTTAGTCTGAGAAAAAAATAATTGTTCTGAATTTATATAATCACTAGCATCATCATAGAAAAAATCGCGTAAATCTGTGTGAACCTCGTAAATCTTTTTCAGAAATTTTTTAAATGTCGAAGTCAATGCATTTCGCACACATGAAGCGGCTGTCATTTTTCTTGTTCGGTTGTTCTCTTTATCTCCATATTCAAAATGTTAGTGCTAAAAAAAATGATGTTATGTTGATATTTTGACAAGCTATATCTTGAAAACTAATCGAGTCCAACTAAAAATAAAAAGTGATCTGAATTCCTACCATCATGTAGTATCATCCCAGAAAAAATCACGATGGTTCTGCCATCTGGAGCTTTATGCCAGTCTCATTTGAAGTGATACCTTAAATGCATCAATACCAAGGCGAACAACAATACACATACAAGATCGCAATGAACGTACTTCTGGCAAAACTTCATTAGGGAGCAATTTGTTGCAAGAGCAGAAAACATTTTAGCCCAGAGAGAAACACAGAGACATTCACACAATGAAACAAAGAACATACTCAAAATGGACTCTTTGCTCCCCCATTGATGGAACAGCTTCGATACGACTGCTCCCCTTAATGGCGAAAGTGAAAGTCCTACAGACAAGAATTGTAAACTCATCAAAGTTACTGTTCAGGACCTTCAGTACAAATAAAAACTTATTACACTTCAGACTAACCAGATATGATGAATTGTAAAACTTATAATTATATTCAATCAAATTAATACACTACAAGTATAAAAAATACTCACATTTGCAGGAGGGTGACTATAATTTCCATTTGTCAAGAGTCTTGGTCTATATTCAGAGCGATGTATATGTCTATCTTTGGAGGAACTACTAGAGTGTGAATATTTTTTGGAATAATTTTTACTCTTGGAATTATTTCTATTCTTTTTTTTATCGTCTCTGTATTTGTCACTTTTACTAGAAGACGATGTTGATGCTAGAATTTTTTTATCTCTTTCATATAGCTTGAAATCAAGTTTAGCTACTTTTGCATCTATTATATTAGTGTCAGCAGAATGAGCCCTCTTTATACCCTTATTTTCCTTAACAGCCACATCCACAGATCTAGTTCTTGCTTTTCTGGGAGAACAATGATCTCCTTTTGAAGAAGTTTTACCTGACTCTGCTGAACTTGAAGTATGTCTCTCCAAATTTTTCAATTTCACATTGGATTGTTCTTCAATAGCAGTTAATAAATCAATGCCTTTCTTGCCCCTCAAAAGATCATAATCCAATTGGTCTACTAAATGAGAACACACTTTTTTTTTTGTTTTTCTATTGGGGGAGTTATCTTTCAAAGACATTTTGTCAATGGTAGATTTTGTAGTTATATCATTTATGTTTGAATCCTGAAGGCAACAATCTGGTAATAGTTCTTGAATTTCAGAATCACTAGTACTATCAAGAGGACTCTTCTCAGTACTAACATTGCAGGTAGAAGCACAGCCACTTTCAAAATGAGAACTTATCAAAGCAATATCTAAAACCACTTGTCGACAATCTAGTTTTTCTGTTGTGGAAGGTAAATTATTATTTTGTTTGTGTGTATTTATTGACAAGTCAGAGCCATTTTTGATATTATGCCTGTCATCACCATGATTTTCTTTATTATCAGTACTGTTTGAAATATTTTCAGATTCAACCCAACAATGATCACTGGTTTCTTTTACACACACTACGTCAATTGCACTATCACTTGTTTTAATTAATTCACTGGAATTTAAGCACGAATAGTATTTATCATCAGGGAAATTGGTTACATCAGATTTTATACAATTTGTCTCTTTTAGATCAATACCATCATCAAAACTTTCAGATTCACACTTTGCTGCACTATTGAGAACTTTTGAATCAAATTCTTGAATACTCTTGTGCCTTTTTGTTAAAAATGAATCATTTGTTACAAAAGTATCTTGCAAATCTTCCAGAGCACCATCTTCATGAATGGGGTTGATATGGCCATTTTTTCGAGATTCAAAATTGGAATCTCTGACATTTTCTAAAACAAATGAATAACGAAATTAGGACAATACTTCAATTTGTTTCTTCATTCAAAAGTAAGGAATACATGTTTACAAATATTGCACTTACTATTCAAAAGGCTCTCACTGAGTGCATTGGTCATATTACATGAACATTTGGTATATGTTAAAAAACATATATGACATGTAGAGCAATTCGATAAAGGCTGGTAACAAGAGTCATTTTCAATGAATTCACCGTTTTCTTCATTATTGCTCTCATTGAAACTGTCTTTTGACGCCATGACTTCTATCACAGTTGTTTACTTGACATTTGGTAGCGACTGAATAATGAAGCACAGATATGTTTTACACTGGCCATTACTTATTCAATATAAAACTTATATAATAATTATTTTGATTATTTTATAAATTTTGTTTGGCTCAACATCACACACAACTACCCACATAGATTTACGCTTGCCGCCATGCTTGAACAATGAACAGTTTTCCTCTGATAAAGCTAGTGGTGCCCTCGTTTCGCACTAACTCTATACGAATTCTGTCAAATTTCAATATTGGTGCAGTGCTCAGAGTACTAAGTTAGTAACTTTGAGGTGCAGTGCCAATAAAACATGAATTTCAGCACATGTCACTCTACAACACTACTACTATAACTGAAACATCTGTTTTACTGAAACACAGAATATTATTAGTTTTTTCATTGTTTTCAAGTGACAGAAATAATTGTTAATTTAATTTAAATAATAAATCCCACAACTTCAACAAAAAATCCGAATGAACAAAAAATAAATGGATAATCAACCTATAAATTGTTGCAGTTCTACCTAACAATAATCCAAATTATTTTCTATTCAGTTGAACTTGAAGGGAAACATATAAGTGACGAAAATTATTCATATATTTATTATAATTCACTACATTCTTATCAAGTGTCTAATACAAATACAAGTTAATGGAAATCATGCATGTGCGAGTCCAAAGAAGTTGAAGCTACCTTCATGGGGTAGATTTTCCAAATAGAAAATACTGTACCTGAATTCATCAATCAGCTCAAAAATTTTCAGCCAACATGGTTATGTATCACGATCTTTAGCTTTCTAGCTAGCTCTGTTACGCCAGCGACGCAAAGTACGGAAATCGCGTTTAGAAAATGCCAAAATTAGGTACTTTTTAGGTACCGAAGTCAAAAATTAGGTGCTCTGTAACTTACACCGCAACTCAATACTCAAAGTTGCGTTGCTAGCATTATGTAATGCCAGCAACGTAACTTGCTGTAACAATCAATTTTTTTAATTAATAAACAGAAGCCTCCAAAGTCGCTAAACAACAGATCTAAAAATCAGGTCTCTCGATAACGAAGACGAATGCTCAATCAGGTATAAAATAAAGCATGGTAATAAAGTGCTAATAAGGTGCTTGCAAGAAATTGAAATGAAAACGACCGTGAATAAGCTTAAAAAAATTCGGTATATCTATATATATACGGTATAAGGGCATGAGAATAAAATGCTAATTAGGTGCTCATTGGATATTTATAGTAAATCTAGATTCCATAATGCCTATGAGGCTTATGGATCTGAAAACCACAATGGCTGATAGGCTGAGTTCCCACAGTACATTCCTCAATAAATAAGGGCATGAGAATAAAGTGCTAATTAGGTGCTCATTAGATATTTATAGTAAACCTAGATTCCATAATTGCTACCCACACCACACCAGATATTCATGGAATATTCCCTCTATATCATAAAACGAACGTATATATTCCAAATATTCATAGAATATTCTTGGATTATATACATGCCTTCAGAATATTCATAATATGCTTGAATGAATATAGCAGGATTATTCCTAGAAGAATGTGCATAGAATGTCTATGAATGAATTATTCTCCCGTGAATATTCTGAGAATATTTTCGATCGAATATACCATATGATGTATTTTTAGAATATATCCCCAGACATATTCGACATATTCTATACGGTGTATTACTGGAATTTTGAATTATCTTATGATAACGTATTCAAATAATTCGATATTATTAAAAACAAAAATATTTGAAGATTCTAATCGAATGAATAACTTGATGTATATAACCCTTATAGTGATAACCAGTTCTTGATCTCATCGCGAAGATTCTGATAAATTGCTCCAACTATTGGAAATGCGAAAAAAATTTGAATGGTCCAATAAATGAATCAATGGCATTAAAAAATCGGGTTATTCTCATCCTATTTTCCTTTCTGTATTTGAAATTATTCAATTACAAAGCAACAAATCCTGGCAACAGAGAAATGGGGAAGTGAAGTATTGGAGTAAACGTTTCTTATTGGTCAATTGAAGTGTAGCGCGCGAAAGTCGAAGCTCTGTAGAAGCGGCTGCCCCTTAACGCTTGACAGCTTTGCTTTGAAATCGACAATTGGTTCAACATGGCGGTTGACATTGGTGTTATTATCACAAACTACTTATTCTATAGGTTTGTTCTGGTTCTACGACATTCGGGTTCTAGGACGTCAGGATCATGCGCAGTTGATATAGAGCGTTCTGGTTTATCAAGGATAATTTCGGACTAATCTCTCTGTTCTGGTTTCGACTACGAAATGATCCTAAACTGTTTTTGAACCGTCCCGAATCGTTCTTGCTTCCGAGGCTGAACTGTTGAGAACTGTTCCCGTTGCTCATGCGCATTCATGTGGAAATTTGTTTGGGCTATTTGCTAGGATGTTTTTTTATTTATTTGATTTGAATAATTGATGATTGAGGGTAGATAACATTTGAACTGACTATAGGAATACGCTATATAACAAAATGGACATGATCAATAGTATTTTCTCGTCTTCATCTCTTCATATATACGATAGGTGGCACAGTGGTCTCCTCAAAAACGTTCCGGTTTAAATAAAAGTCCGAGGCTATTTCGAACTGTTTGAGATTTTTTGTTCGTACGCACCATGTCTTGCGCAGCTTCCAAACAGTTTCGGATGTTAGAACCAGAACAAACCTTTTAGACGTTTCACGCAAATGATCAAGGTCACACACAAACTACTTAATGTGGTTTGTGGTCTCTGCAGAGATTATAGGTTATGTCGATTGTGGACATTTTTCCTTTGAAAGGAATTTAAAACGTATTATTTTTATCAGCGTTCTCCGATCAGTTAGTTTGTATCTCATATAAACATATTTATCCAGTGTTATTACATTCTTAAATTTAATATTTTTTCATTATTCTTAGTGAACTTCGTTTTCAACTGTGTCATGTAGGAAATGCTGCATTTCAAAGTGTTCAGTATCTGCACCGCTACACAAATTTCCAAATCCTGGAAAATATCTAGAACAATTCAGAATATGGGTGCACTCTATCAATGAAATAAACCCAGTAATATTGTATCGCTCTAAAAGAGTTTGTCATAAACATTTCGAGGCTAAATACCATTCATTTATGCCGAGTAGACTTCAACCAATGGCTGTGCCTACATTATATTTGAGAGGTAAGAGAAACATTTCCATTCAATTCTTGAACGTCCAAATAATAAAACAATTCAGGTCAAATTATTCTTCTCATCATTAACAGTCAGTTCTGACATCTCAATCTTCAAATTAGCATGACTTCTGTGATTCATAAAAATTTCAATTTGAATATTTCATTGCCACCATCATTTTGAACCTTCATCTAAGCAGTTTTTAATACGTTTTCCTACTATTTTATTTTCAGATGAAATTGATCTATTTGATTCAGATGAGCCGTCAACTTCTTCAGCCATGCCATTGACATTGGTTTGGGAAACGGATTCCTTTAATGGTATGTACTGGTTTGGCTATTTCTTCATCACCATATTTTGCGTTTTCACAAATAAGTCTTCACTCTATTCATTTATTTGTGGAGTAATTGACATCAATCTTTTTCAGAAAATGCTGTTGGTTGTCTGATGTCACCACTTCAGCTCCTGAAGCATTCAGGAGTTTGTAAGCAGGCAGTCACACCAAGAAAAAAAAGTTATATGCAGGACAGTAAAAAAACCTTAGCAAAAGATTACATGAAGCTGAAACATTCAAGGATAAATATGAATTGGAGCATAACATGGTAAAGCTGAATTCCTTGGCAGCAATATTGATTTGATTGCAATTTCGAGAATCAAGTAAGTGCAAGAAACTAAGGCGTTTTACCCTTAACGAAAAGTTACTCTCTGTGGCCTTTTACAGAGTCCCAAATCTTATGCACTTCTGCCAAAAATATTCATTCTGCCAAGTAAGTCAACATTAGGAAGGCTACTTGCCCTAGTGGTTGGGAGACCAGGCATCCAATATGTTATCTTTGAATCACTTCAAGAAATGACAAAAGAAATGAATTCCTCTGAAAAATATGTAGCGGTTCTGTTTGATGAAATGGCAATTTTGCCTAGTCTTCATTTCAATGAACATACTGGCTTCATAGAGGGCTTTGAAGACATGGGTGGAAATATTAATGATAGCTACATTGCAGATCATGTCCTAATGTTTATGATCAGAGGTTTGTAAAAACAATGAAAAGCTCCTATCTCTTACCATTTTTTGAGTAGAGGGGGTGCAAAAACCTTGGAAATGAAACAGTTATTAACTGAAATAGTAAGAAAATTAATAAACATCGCTCTAAAACAGGTGACGACAGTAATATGTGATCAGAATAATATTAGTGTCATCAATAGTCTAATGAATGACACCAAAGAGAAATATTTGAGATGTGACATATCCACATATCGAGAAGGCTCTTTCGAAATTGATGATTTCGAAGTCTATCCTATTCTGGATCCTCCTCATTTGTTGAAAGAAATGAGAAATAATTTTATCAAAAAGGATTTACATTATTCAAAAAATAATGTCAGGAAAACAGCAAAATGGGAGCATGTACGAAAGCTTTATGAAAATGATAACGGAATTAAGTGACACCTCTGATCACCTTCGTTTTTGGAGTAACTGTTTTTTTTCGATCGTTTATTTGACTCTGAATGGTTCAAAAAAAAACCAGAGAAGGGAAAAATATTACGGTGTGGTTCAAGTCCTCTGATCACCTTCGTTTTTGGAATGAAGAAGCCCTGTTACTGCTGGATGGAATGAAGTTTCAGAGAATAAAGAAAAATGATCAAAGAAGGCCTGAAGAATTGGTCATTTGTCATAAAAAATGTGAAGAATATTTGGCAGGTTCTGAAGTCCAATGGTTTTGATTATTTGTTAACAAGAGGGCTGAACCAGGATCCGCTTGAAAATATGTTTGGTCAATTGAGAAGCTTTGGAGCCTTATACACCAGTCCTTCAGCTTCTCAATTCATAAGCATTTATGAAACTGTGCTTTTTAATGCAGCCCTTTCATTTTACAGAAATTCATTCAGTTGTGAAGATGACAAATGTGAAAACTTGTTTAATTCTTTGAAGGGACTGTTTTGTGAACGTAATGCTGACTGTAATATTACTGAAGCTATACAATATGCAGATATAACACTTTATCAGAGTTGCACTCTATCTGGAAAGTTGAATGAGTTGTACACTAGTTATGTAGCTGGCTTCATTTTGAAAAGAATCAGGAAGGGTATAATATGTTCAAATTGCAAAAACACAATGTTTTCAACCAATTATGAATCTGATGCAAATAGCATATAACATTACAATTATTTATGTTTATGCGAATTATGTTTAACTCCCACCTTGAAAAATTCAATATTGCATGAAATGTTACATATGAATATTATTTCTGTCTTGCTATTAGAATCAACCATAGCAATGACTTTATTTTGATTTCAGTAGCAAATTAGAATATTTATATGTAACACTTTCAAAGTAAACAATGGTTGAGCTAATAAACTATGAGATTGGAAACTTTGGTGAACAGTTGAAACTTTTCCTAGAGATCAATTACAATAACACCAAACTGATATTTTTTGTACTCAACGCGTGTTTCGCTAACAAGGTTAGCATCTTCTGTTGAACTTGATATAATCTGTTATTTTGTTTTCTGTGTTCTGTGCCAAAGAACTGGCAACAATGTTTTTTTTACTTTTTTGTGCTATCAAAATATGAGAGAAAAAAGGCCCTTAAGCCTTCATCAATTTATGTACAAAAAAAGCATGTCTTTTAAACTTAATTGTGCAATGTATGACTGATAAGCATTTAGAATATGTCAAGGATGCACAGACATCTCGAGAAATGATACAATCTCTGAAGAATGTGTTTGAACGCAAAAGTACTTTGTCAAAGCTATATATTATGAAAAAGTTGTTAAAGCTGAAGTGTACCAGCAATGAACTACAAGAACACTTCATGCAGGTAGAAAGTTTATTGAAAGAACTTGAAGCGGCAGGGGCAAAATTGGATGAAAGTGACAAAGTATGCTATCTGCTGCTAACCATGCCTGAAAAATATGATATTGTCATCACAGCCATTGAGACAGTTACAACAAATACTAAACTACTACTAGGTACCCAAAAAATTTAATTGCAATGGTTTTTTTTTTCAATCATCATTTCAAGTATTGTCTATTTTTAACATTTGTCTAAAATAAATGAACTTTTCTTTAGCAAGAGATTTTGTAAAAATATCTGCAACATTATCATTTGTACTGATATATGACATAGTTATTATTCCCTTTGCCACAATATCTTTTATAAAGTGAGCTTTAATATCGATATGTTTTGATCTTTTACTATTCTCAAAACTTTGGATTGAATGTAAAGCACTCTGATTGTCTATCGTTAAAACAGTTTTTATGTTTTTCATCCCGAAGTCTGCACAAATACCTTGCAAATACAGAAGTTCTGAAGTAGCTGCTGCACTGGCCAAGTATTCAGCCTCATAACTTGACTGTGCCACAACATTTTGTTTTTTTTGAGAACCACGATACTGAATTTTTATTATAAAATACAGCACAGCCTTTGATGCTTTTTCTGTCCAATTGGTCACTTCCCCAATCTGCATCGTTATATGCCAGAATCTCCAAATTTTCAGCATTGTATCTTTCATATGTTAAATTTATGTCGATAGTATTCTTGAGGTATCTAACTATCCTTTTCGCAGCTGTCCATAGTTGATTGGTTGGCTTGTCTAAAAATCTGCTCAGAAATATAACTGAATAGGATATGTCCGGTCTACTGATGGTTGCAATATATAGTAAAGATCCAATTAATTCTCTATGTGGAACATTTATGATTTTCTGATCCTCAACTTGAAAGTTTGGTTCCATAGGGGTTGAAACAGTCTTACATTCCTCCAAATTGAACTTTTCAATTACTTTCTGAATCAATGTGGACTGACTGATTATTTTCTTAACATTTTGTTCTGAGATTTCTATTCCCAAAAAATTCTTTAGTTCTCCAAGATTCTTCGCACTGAATTCGATCTCTAACAGTTGTTGAATGTAGGCACAGTTTTTGTCTGTCAAAATTATATCATCCACCCATAGTAGAAGCCTAATCTCTTCTCCTACATATAGACAGAAATCGTATCCAAATCTTCTTAAATTGTACTTCTCTGCAAATTCATGAAATCTTCGATTCCACAATCTTGGAGCTTCTCATATAGAGCCCTTTTTAATCTCAATGAGTTATACTTCTTGGCTATTTTGACACCTTCCTGGAATGTTAATATAAACATCAATGTCTAGATTTCCATTGAGAAAGGCAGTGGGAATATCTAGTTTAATTTCCCAATTGTTTTGTAAGGCATGAGCAATAAATAATCTTATTGTTGAGTATGTTGCTACCGGTGCATAGACATTATAGTGATACTCTTCTTGATAACCCTTAGCAACTAATCTTGCTTTCTTTTGATCATTTTGTTTTGTTGTAAAAACCCACTTTGTGTCTATTGCTCTTTTTTGTGATTGTAATATGGCTGGCTCCCAAGTTCCATATTTTTCATGAGCTAATAACTATTTGGTTACGGCACTCTTCCAGTCACTTGATTTTATTGCCTCTCTAGTCTTTTGGAATCTCTGTCGAGAGATATGCATAGTACATTTCATAATCTGCAAATTTTGAGGGTAACTTTATTTTTCTTCTACTTTCGTTTTCAGGAGTATCCTCTTGAGCCTCCTCATTTGTCTCATCTTCTGATTCATCTTTTCTTATCTCCATTTCATTTTTCTGTAGGTCTTTCTCATTATTTTCGATCCCATAGATTGTTATTTTCATCAAATCTAACATATCTTGACACAATTATTTGATCAGTCTGTGGATTCCATAATCTGTAGCCATTTTGACTGTATCCCACCATTCTTACAGGAACGGCTCTTGCTTCTAGTTTGTCGCCTGTGTTTGGGATATTGAGTGCCCAAGCTTTACTACCAAAAATTCTTAATTTACTTAAATTGGTTTTTTCTAGGAACACTACTGCTGGAACATCCTCCTTTAGTGTTGAGGTGGGAGACCTGTTGAGTTCGTACGCAGCAGTTCTTATAGCTTCACCCCACAGATGTTGTGGTAGGATAGTTTCTGCCAGCATAGTTCTGACTTTGTCTAGCAAGGTTCTATTTGCCCTTTCACTCACTCCATTTTATGAGGAGTGTAAGGGAGGGTATATTCCAATTTTATACCCTTTTGGATACAGAAATTCTTCAATTCAGCACTTGTCTATCCTCCATTATCCATTCTTATTTTTTGACATTTGTATCCTTTTATATTTGATTCTCTAATGTATTTCATTAAGTTAAACTGTGCTTCACTCTTCCTTTTTAGTAAATATACTGTAGTGAAGTGGGAATAATCATCAATTATTGTTTGAAAATATTTTTCATTATTGCTTGTTGTCGTTCTTATTGGACCTCCTACATCTGAGTATATCAACTCTCCAATTACTTTTGACCTTGGTAGTTCTTGATTTTTGAAGGATTGTCTAGTGGCTTTTCCTTCTCGGCATGGACTGCATACTTTCTTGGAAGTTGGTAAGTTCATTTTCTTCATATAAGCCTATGAAATATGTCCTATTCTCTTATGCCAAATATCTCCAGTTGAGACCAAATTACATACATTTTCTGGTAAACTGAGACTTGCAACATATAGATTTCCTATAGTTTTACATATTATATTAGTCCTACTTTTGGTTTTGAGTGTAGCCTTTTCATGTTCAAATAAAATCTCATTACATTTTTCATTTATCTTCTTGACTGACAATAAATTATTACTCAAATTTGGTACAATCAGTGCCAAAATATTAATTTTCAAATTTTCGTATCCCACCGTTAGTTTGCCTTTTCTTGTCACTGCCAGAAAATTTCCATTTGCTACTCTGATTTTTATTTCCCTTTCTAGACTCTGCAGATCTGTCATATATTTTTCCATTTCTTCCGTCACTATATGTTCCGTTGCTCCACTATCAAGTATGAAATCTATTCTTGAACCATTACTCAACATACATGTTTCAGGATTGAAAACCTCAGTTGAAAATACAATTTCCTCCTCTGTTTTACTTGTTTCTCCATCGGTTGAATAATTGACTTGCCTAGTTGAACCTTTATGGAAATAATGCCCTCGACTCCTTCTGTAATTGCC